TAGGTCTGCCCCAAAGCTCTCGAAAATATGGGTTTTTCGTCCATTTTGTGGTTTTTAGCGAAAATTTAATAATTTCCTATAATTGCAAGTTCATGTTGGCTGGGTATGCAAAAGTAGCCTTTTAGTACAAGGTGGTTAAAGCATTTGGCCCTAGGTTAATAATTAGGTCTGCCCCAAGCCACTTAATAATTGAGTACTTTAATTTAAATTTATGCGGTAGTGGTGTAGTGGTAGAGCGCTCGCTTCATAAACGAGTGGTTCCAAGTTCGATCCCCACCACGTCCCTGGTAGTACCGCGCTCAACTCGTTTCTCTGCGCAGCGGCCTTGTTCGTCAAGGTTCGTGTTTCGGAGTTATAGAGTTGAGAGCAATGGCTGCAGCAGCACGATCTGAAATGCTATGGCGATTACATTCCTTTGAGATATTTGGAATGTTTGCTCTCATTTGTTTTTTCTCTGCTGTTCCAGTAGTTGGAACCTTATGTATTGAGGGAAAATGGACATCAGTATCGTTGTCAGTTTCATTATCAGAAGACGAACTGAATTCAACAATATTTGAAGACAATAACGAGTTAGATGTAGTGGCTGTTGTTGGAGTTTTGTAAATATTGGAAAGTTTTCTTTTGCGATTATCGCGTTCTTTCAATCGATTTGTAACAACTTTATCTATACTTCCAATCATCATATTTCTTCTACTTCTTTGAACTTCCAAAAATGATCTTTCTGCAACTGGTACCTTAAAACTTTTCTCACAATTGCAGTGATTTATGTCCAAGCATTTGCAGACTGCGATGTCAAACAACTGGGAATTAGCTTCTGTACAAAACTTTTGTATCTTTGCTTGATAGTTAGGATCATTCTGTCGCCTCTTTAAGGGCTTAAGCATATTTCGATGTTTGTCATGAAGTTCTTTTATCTTCGCTACAATCCGCTTGTGTGTTATAATTGGAATCGATGCTTTGTACCACAATGCTTCCACTTTCGATGAAACACAACTTGAAACCTCAGCAACTGAAGGGATTTCTGCAGATCTATATGTCATTTCGTCTTTAAGGAACAAGTAATATTTCATCACATCAGCATTTGTGGGAAGAACGGTCTCTGGTAAATATGAAGGATTTCCAAAAATTGGGCAATTGGTACGTAGCCGTGTCTTGTGCTTCTTACACCCACTAACACCAGCCATTCTTGCTATTTTTGTTCGGACGTCACTCACAGATGCGAGGTTGTTTGAATTTTCTAATCTAAAATAATTTTCTAATCTAAAATAATAATATAAAAATAAAATAACTAATTTCTAACATAATAATTCAAACAAAATAATGTAAATACTGAAATTTTTAATTATAGGAAATTATTAACTTTTTCTCCAAAAACCACAAAATGCACGAAAAACGCCAATTTTCGAGTGCTTTGGGGCAGACCTAAGAATTAACCTAGGGCAAAATGCTTTAACCACAGTTTACCTTGTATCAAATGGCAACTTTTGCATACCCAGCCAACTTGAATTTGCAATGATAGGAAATTATTATTTTTTAAGCCAAAAATGCTGAAATTAACGAAATATTCAAATTTTCAAGTGCTTTGGGGCAGACCTTAATATTAATCTAAAGCAAAATGCTTTTACTACAGTTCATTTTGTACCCAAAGGCGACTTTTCCATACCCAGCTCAAATGAATTTCCAAAAAAAGGTTTTTTCACTCCACCCTTTTGTATAACTTCATATGCAATGATATACCCCATGCATCAAGATCAGTGTTATCGAAGTTTAGTAAATTAACCTTGTCTTTGATGAGATTAGGTCTTAATTTAACCTTAAAAGATCTTGCCTATCGTTTTGAAGTTAGTAACTCCAAAGTTTCTTCAGTATTTATTGAACTAACAGATGTTTTATTTATTTATTTACGTCAACTTATAAAATGGCCTGCACGTGAACAGCTATGGAAAACTACACCTAATTGTTTTCGGAAACATTATGGTACAAAGGTAGTTGTAATAATTGATTGTTTTGAAGTTTTTACACATAAACCTACAAACCTTTTAGCCAGAGCACAAACATTTTCAAGTTACAAACATCACAACACAGTGAAGTTTTTGATCGGTGTTACTCCACAAGGTGTTATTAGTTTTATTTCAAAGGCATGGGGTGGTAGAACTAGTGATAAGCATCTCACTGAAAATTGTAAAATTCCTAATAACCTGTTACCGGGGGATATTGTAATGATAGAGGTTTCAATATTAAGTAATCTGTTGCTGTTTGCTGTTTAAAACGACAGCTTGACTCAATTGATGTAGAACAAACACATCATATTGCATCATTGAGAATTCATGTAAAACGAGTAATTGGAAATCTTAAAAATAAGTATACCATATTACAAGACATTTTACCATTAGATTATCTCATAAGAAAAGATAACAATGGTTATTCAACAATTGATAAAATTGCAATTGTATCATGTGGTCTAACAAATATGTGTGATTTGTTATTCCAGTTGACTTAAACTAGTTTTTCAGTTGTTGTTTTTTTTAAATTTTTGCTTCCAACAAGGCGGCAAGCTTTGTAGAGCAAATATTAATAGAGGCTATATTACATTAAGCAATTACATATATTTATATGCAGATAAACATTTGGAAACCAGGAAAAGAGGGTTCAAAGATCTTGAGCACATCAATACTTTTAAAGTTTTTTTAACAAAGCCCTTGCTTTTAACTTAACCTCGAAAATTACCTACGAGAAGAAGCTTAAATAATGCCTTATGCTTCCTAATAAGATGTTGTAAAATAAAAATAAAATGAATTTTTTTCAATTAAAGCAATTCTTCCAATATACTATTGCATATTGGAAATCAGTTATTAGCTTCTATACCCTCCAAAATGAAAGTATCTTATTGTTTTTTAGTAGAAAGTTGTTTACAATCTTGACACATCCATTTCTTCTTTGGTTTATTATTTAACTTTAAACATTTTAAATGAAATAATTTTCTCAAACAATCAATGTTACTACATGGAAACAGTTCGCCATTTTCTTTTCCATTGCAATAACAATTTTGGATATTTATATTTAAATGTAAATTTTCTTCATCTAACTTTCGTGTGCAACATTTAGCCACTAGTTCTGGGAGTATTACACATTTAAACTTTATTTCACATTCTTTAATAATATCTTGCCACAACTTTTTATCAAGAAAAATGCGCTCTATGTGGTAATTTTTTTCTGTGTAAAATAAAGAAATCACAACACATTTTTTTACATAAGTTTATCTGAATTTGAATTTGATTATAATATGGATGATTTCTTGATAACTTTGTAACACCATCAGTATTTTGTAAACAAAAGTTTTTGTTTTTTTCAACAGCTTCAAAAATAAATTCATCTTTATGTTTAAATGGGCGTTTTATTTCAATACACCCATCACCACAGCTTAAGCAATAAACAGTTGCATCAGGTAATGCTCCCATATAAAAATACTCAGTAGACAAAAACAAACCACAATCCAAAATCTTCCAATTTTCATGATGGGCACTTACAGCATCTGTGTAAATACTTAATGCTTTTTTCTCATGAACATTTCCGTAGCTTGTAGCTTATGTTGAAAAGCTATTAATGACAGGATAGCAAATTTTTTTAATCAAAGATAATTGTTTATTCTGATTAGAATGCATTACGTTGTAAACATTTGATGCAGTAATTCTGCAAGCACGATTTAAAAACAAACTTTTTGATAGAGCTTGCTTTCTTGTTAATTCCTCAACAGCTATTTGTTGTTCATAAGTAACTTAACTAAATTCAATGTTTTCGCAGTGTTGACATAACTCAAAGTAACTAATATTTAATAAATTTGTTACTTTGAGTTATGTCAAAAATTTTATCTGATATTTATTTCATAAATATCAGATAAAATTTTTGGTAATAAGTTAGAATGTTGTTTTGGAATATAAATATTGTCATGAGGAGGTATTATAGATAAAATTGCAGGTTTAGAATTGCACAGACTCAGTTGCTTATAAAATATGTCGAGTTGTTTTTGTGAAGGTCCTTTATACTTTTCTAAACACGACTGTTTACTTATTTTATCAACAGCAAGTTCACTAGAAGTTGCATAGTTTTCTTTAAGTTTGTCATTAAACTTTCTTTTAAGAGTATCTGGTAAAGTTTACATCAACCACTTCAGCATAAGGCACTGATTTCAAAGAAGCAGGCAACATCCAATAGGTCTTTTCCTCAGTGACAGTTTTAGAGTCTCTAATTCGGACAGTTGCATCAATAAAGAATAAAATAGCTCCAATGTGCAAACAAGACTCACCTAAGCCAGCCATGCAGTTGCAGTGAGCAGATAATACATCGCCATCAATATGGTCTATAATCCAGGTTAATGTTGGAGGCTCATTTAGCCGTTGAGAATACAAAACCTAAAATGTAATTTTATATATTACTAATATACTATATCTAATATTATTAGAGCTACATTACTTTTGCAAAAATTTATATTTTATATAAAAAAGATAATATGAAAGTCGAAATATTATATGATGACTTTGTATAGTACTTTCATATAACATTCATTGAAGGTTTCAATGAAACTATACAAAAGATAAATAAGAAAGATTAGTAAAAGTAAGTAAAATTAAATCATCTTTCCCTGAACCAAGCATATGGATTCATAACAGATAAGTTTAACACCAATATCTCTTATCCAACCACTCAAAAAATGTTTATAAGCGTCTAAACTTTTAAAGCATTTGAGTTCTTCTTTGGTGGCAGGGCTTGGTGCAGTGGCGGATTTAGTATAGGGCGTGGGGGGGAAGAGGCGAGCTGCCCCCCACGCCCCCCTAAAACGGTCTAACGGCGCCCCCTAAAACAATTAATATATATATATATATAAGGTTAATATATATATATATATATATATAAGGTTAAACTACTGAAGGCAACCCCGGTCGCCCCTATTTATTGACTTGGCTCTCTCCCAACCCCCCCCCCTCCTCCGCCGCGACACTAAACCTCAATCCGCCACTGGCTTGGTGCAAACAATAAATATGTAAGATTATCAGCATGGGTGATTTTAGGATAAAACTGTGGCTCAGAAAGATAATCTGCCTTTTTCAAGGTATATGATAATTTGCCTTTTCAAGGTATAGATAATCTGCCTTTTTCAAGGTATATTTTTCAAGGTATATTATTTTGGTTTGACAAAAGTTTGTAGAAATTTCTTTCTGCCATACTGAGGTTTTTTTACGGAATGTTATGAATTGTTTGTGAACCAACATGGCAGATTTGCATAATTTAACATAAGTTAAAATTTCACTCGGAACGCAGAATAGGTATATTAATTTTCGGCTAGAAATAGATATGTAAATTGGTTAAGACCTGTATTTTACGGATCCAGAAAGCTAGAATATATAAGAAAAAAGTATAGAAAAGTTTGGTTTGGAATAAATATACAAAGACCCGCATTTTTACGGGGCCGATCTCAGCGTTTTCATGCCATTATTTTATTTTATTTTGTTTCATTTTAGACATCTTATAATGCTTTTTTTAGCATATTGCAGATCGAATAGAGGGCCCACATTTCCCACATGGTGTTTAAATTTAGGGCAAAAGCATCCCCCACCTTTTTATATATATATATATATATACATATGTTAAGGAGGAGAGTGAGTATTAGATACAAAAAACAATGCGTCTATAATTAGTTTTTATGCAGTTGGTTATTATACCAATTAAACCAAATACTGGTTAATCTACCAATCCATTATTGACAATGTAAATTTAGTTGAACTTTTTTTGTAAACATAGATTTCTTTTTATATTTTGTTTTGTTATTATGTATAAATAAATTGATTTTCATTTAATGCATTAATACAATACAGATTATTTTTTATTCCTTTAAAACATGCCAAATTGATTAAAGTGCTTCGCATGGGTTCTAATCCTTTCGTTTACACATAATTTTTTCAAAATCTTTTCTAATTTTGTAGAATACAAAATAAAACATTTTTAAAGGCCTATAGATATATGCATAACATATATCAAAATATTATATACTATAATAAACGAAAGAGAGAGAATTTTTTACAAAGCTTTTTAAAATTTCTAAAAACATGATTACGCCGTTAAAAATTTGTTGAACATATGTCACGATACTTAAGTTGTTAATGTGTTTACTGATTAGTTAAGTCTGTGCATTAAAGAGACAATTTTATTTCTTATTGGAAAATATTTTACATGACCTGTTAATTTTAAAGGAAAAAATATTTTTCTTTAAAATTACAACGGCAAGAGTCCTAATAAGCTGCAAAAAAGGTTTAAAAACTTATTAAAGAAAAAAATAACCGCTGCCCATTTGATGTATTTATTATTTTACTTTTTTTGTTTTATAGAAATTCGTTGAATTTATGAAGTATTGAACATTTATGGTTTTATCAAAACAAAGATTTATATATTTATCTCTTTAAAAATTATTGACATAAAGAGAAGTTATTTCGGTCGGTGTGGAATAGACTTACCATAACCAGTATTAAACTGCTCATGGTAAGTCTGTTGTTCCACATATTTAAATCATCTCATATTTTTTAAAATTATTAACAATTGAATTTTTTTTATGGCTCAAAATTGAAAACAATTAGTAAAGTTTTCTTATAGTTATTTTCCTACCTAAGAAAAGGTCAGTTTGGAATACATTTGCCAGACCCATATTTTGCGGGTCACGACAACAAAAATTACAAATAAAGCAAGTTGGTGATTTGAACTTGCCACGCAGCGACCTTAAGTTTTTCAAAACAGTACGGGGGTTAAAAAAGTATTTTTTTTATAAAAACATAATTAAAAAAATTCTAATTATATATTTAAATGAAACCATTTTATTAAACTGATTACTTTTAAAAATAATTAAAAGTTGAAGTTTAACTTTTATATTTAATATTAATATTGAAATTTAGAGTTATACAGCTATTAATTCACGCCACAGTTACACATACAAAACCGAGTGCGCAATGACAACACTCTTTAGATAACCATTAAAATAGTATTATACTCTATTATTTTTTGGTTTTATATACTTTTTGGCTTATCCTTTATCTAAACTTTAAAATAAGGGATTGTCCATAAATTACTCAACGCTAAACTTCACAATTAAAGAAAACAAAAATGATCTAAATTTTTCAACCTTTTGGCTTATATGTGGGCAAGGATTGTTTGCCCAGGAGATAAATAGTTCCAGCTTTCTGGCTTCCGGATTTGCTGTTCGTAGTGTTGATTGTTATAATTTCGATTATTGGCAAGTCAGATGAAATTGACTTGTGTGGCTATTTGATGACGAGTTTGTCGGAAATTTTCCAGTTGTTGTGTTGATTACAGGAGTATGTTAAGTAGCGAGAGATGGCAGGTCGATTCTTGGTTATTTTGTGATGTGGTTGGTTGGAGATATAAATTGACTAGTGGCCATCTGGTTTGGGTAACTTTTTTTAATTTTCTTGCTTTGTATAACAAACAATATTGTTG